CGGTACGCGGGCCAACGGCGCATGGCCCGGGCCCTACGGCGGCTCCGGAGGCGGCGGCGACCGGCCCAGCCCGGCGGCGGAATGGTGGGGCTGCGGGGCTTCGGCCGGCTGCGGTAGGTGCGGGCCGGGAGAACCGGTGGGACGAGGGAAGGGCGGGCGGGACGCGCCGCTAACACGGGCCTCTTCCCCGCAGGATCGAGGAGAAGGAGCCGGAGGGCGGCTGCGGGAACGAGGAGCCCTCGGGGGCCACGTAGCCGGGGCTACCGGGCTGCCGGCACCGGGACAGCCGGGCTCTCCGAGGACACTACACGTACTGGACTGAGGGCAAGGGTTAATAAAGGGTGGTCGGTGGTGGCTGCGTGAGGCTCTGGCTGCGTCCTGCCCCCCCCCCGGCCTTCCCCCCGGGCTGCAGGACCCGAGTCTGGGCTGTTGTACTGGAACCAGTGCGAGGGAATGGCCCTAACCCCCTCTCAGGTGCTGGGGTACAGGCAGGCGGCTGCAGGGCAGCTCAGACATGAACACACAGTCGTATGATTTAAATACATTACATACATTTCTACAGTGCATTAGAACAATACATTTTGGGTCAGTTGGAGATGCAGCTGGGCCTGGCTGGGGATCTCCCTGCTGCCCACCCTGTGCTTGCACAGCCAGTGCTGAGCCCCCCTCCCTACCCAGGAGACGAGGGAGCTGCTCTCCCCTCTCCCAGGCTCAAGCAGCAGAGCCCCAACCCACCTTCATTCCCCCCCCCGACCCCCAGAGATGGGCTGACAGGACAGCGAGACCCACCACCGGCTTCCCCCGGCAGCAGGAGAAGGTGCAGCTCAAGGCCAAGCAGAGCAGGCAGCAGCCCTGGTACCGTTTGATACAACACAAGCTGGGCAGCCCCTGGGGAGAGGGGGGCACACCACCTCACCCACCCATGGCAGGCCTGGGAGATTGTCAGCACCAGAGCCACCGGGAGCCCACGCTCCGTGCTCCCATCACACCTCCCACCCACGCAGCAGAAGAGCCCCCTCCAGCCCTTCACCCTTCCCAGCAGCCCCCTGCCCCTCAAGGGGGACCCTAGGCACAGACCTGGCACCACGCTGGCTGCACAGCAGCCAGGGAGCTTGCTGGGAGCAGGGGCAAAAGCCAAGCAAGAGCAGCCACAGAGACCTGGCAGGAGGGGTGGGCTGGGACAGAAGAAGAGGGACAGGCCACTTGCACCCACCCTCAGCCCTTTCCAGCTGTTGGGGGCTCCCACAGAAGGAGGCACCACTCTGCAGCTCCTCCCAGAGCCACCCGCTCTTCGCAAGGACAAGCCAGCACCTCTCCCCCTTAGTGTCTAAACGCACCACAGCCAGCCCTGGGAGTTGTCCCTCCCGTCCCCTCCTCCAGCCCCCAGCCAGAGAACAGCCGTTCGTTGCGGTCCCTGCTGCACCAGCAGGAACTCCCCCTGAGGAAAGCAGCGTGCACGGGGTTGGGGCAGAGGAGGGGCAGTGGAGGAGGAGCACAGCACACCCTCGGGGAAAGGGAGGGAGGAGAACCCATTACAGGCCTTCCCGGCCCAGCAGCCAGCACGGTGCGGAAGAAAAGCCCCAGCGAGGGGTTGTAAAGGGCTGTGTGGATCCTGACCCGGGCAGCCTGCTCACCCCAGCCCCAGGGGGGTGCTCAGAACCGCATGCAGGCCGAGGGAGGGAAGGAGGGAAGCAGGGGCAGGGTCCCAGCCACGCCACGGGCTCCCGGTGGATTCCCACACCACCCCCCTGGGCTCTCCCCCCCGAGGCAGGGCACCGAGCTCCAGCAGAGCTGGGGACAGACAGTGCCCGACCTGCCTGGCTCCTCCAGTTCAGCTGCAGGTTCCTCCAGCTGCACCTGCTCGCTCTCCCCAGCGGGTCGAGTCCCAGCCCCAGGAGCCAGTGGTGGCCCAGCTCCTCTCGCAGCACTAGTCCAAGGCGGCCAAGCCCTGCCCGCAGCTCCCACAGCTACCACCATGAGAAGAAGGGCTTCCTGCTCTGGAAGCTCTGCGTGTAGGACTCGCTGGTGCTGCGCTGGTGGGAACGCGCCGTTTCCACAATCACAGGCGGCATCTGAACCAGGTGGAGGGGGCTCTTCCCGTCCTTCAGCGCCTGGGTCAGGTTCAGGATCTGTGCGGCACAACAGAGCAACCCTGAGCTGCCCCGCCAGAGCGACAGGGAGCCTCCACCCCACATCCCTCCTGCCACACAGGAGGGGTCTGCCTTCCCTCCACACAGCTTACCTGGCCTCTCATGACAGCAATCTGCTTGTGAAACTGTCCCCTGTCAAAGCCAGGGTCCTTCTGCAAGACAGAGAGCAGAGAACACGCTGGGATCCACCTGCTGCCCCACAACGTGCAAGAGATGCCTGTTCCCCGAGCAAGCCTCTGTCCTCCTGTCCCACCGGTTTCCTGCTTCTCCCCACACCGAATCTTCAGCTCCCGGCAAAGGGATCATAGAATCATAGAATCGTTGTGCGAGAGATGCCTGTTCCCCAAGCAGGCCTCTGTCCTCCTGTCCCACGGGTTTCCTGCTTCTCCCCACACTGAATCTTCAGCTCCCGGCAAAGGGATCATAGCATCATAGAATCATTCAGGTTGGAAGAGCCCCTTGGGATCATGGAGTCCAACCATCTCCCCTACTCTACAAAGTCCTCCCCTACACCATGTCCTTCAGCACTGCATCTAAGCGGCCCTTAAACACAGCCAGGGATGGGGACTCCCCCCCCTCCCTGGGCAGCCTGTTCCAATGCCCGACCACTCTTTCGGTGAAAAATTCTTTCCTAATGTTCAGTCTAACCCTCCCCTGTTGGAGCTTGAAGCCGTTCCCTCTCGTTCTGTCACTAATTACCTGTGAGAAGAGACCAGCACCAACCTCTCTACAGTGTCCTGTCCAGAAGTTGTACAGAGGGATGAGGGCTCCCCTCAGCCTCCTCTTCCTCACACTAAACAGTCCCAGCTCCCTCAGCCGCTCCTCATACGATTTGTTTTCCAGCCCCCTCACCAGCTTCGTTGCCCTCCTCTGCACTCGCAGAGTGCAGGGATGACCCTGGAATGGCTCAGCCCAGAAACTGTCAGGGGCTTGGCCGCCTTTCTGCCCCCTGCAGCCTTGACAGGGAGGTCCCCAACACCACCCCCACTTTTCTTTCTCCAAAGCCATCCTCACCCACTTCCTCTGCTCACCTTGAACAGCTCATACAGGTCTTCCTCCAGGTCTTTGACAAAGTTGGGGTCCGAGATCTTGGGAAGAATCAGGTCCTTGATCTCCTGTGAAAAGGGGATTTTGGCTTGGGGCAGCCATGCCCAGTAGAATGGATCTGTGAGAAAAAGCACGAGACATTAGGTCTGGGGAAGGCAAACGATGGTGCCACATGCCCCTGTGTGCCAGATCACCTGCATCTGGGACAAAGGGTCCAGCACCCACTTCCTACAGCTTCTGCTGAGGTGGAGCTGCCTGTGAACCCAGAAGGTTTGCAGAGGGACAGCCCTAGCCCTCTCCTCTACAGCCCTTGAGGAAGATACCCAGGTGCAGAGTTGTACAGCTCGCCAGGGTGCCCTGGCACAGCCCGAGGGACTCACATGCTCTCCAGGAGTCCGGGTGTTTCAAGGGAAAGGCCAAACCGTTGTCTATAGCAGCCAGCTTGATGATGGGCTCCTTCACCACTACCCAGTCACTGTCCTGGAAGGAAGCAGAGCATGTCACAAGGAGGCTTCCCCAGCAGGAACAGTCCTTCTCCCACCTCCTGCAGCCCCACTGCCAGGATCTTTGCCCTGGCTACCGCAGAGGTACAGCAGCCTCTCACCATGGCCTCGTGTCCACAGGGAAACACTGTCTGCTTTGCATGGGAAGGGGACAAAGCTTCTCCCTCTGCCAGGCCTCACCCCAAGGACGGACAGGACCAGCAACACCAGTTTCCCCCATAGAGCCCAGCTGCATCCTCACAAAGTCCCACTAGGCCACAAACCACCAACGCAGAGGGCAAGAAAAAGGCCCAAGAGGCAAAATATCCGGCCTCCGTGCGCTCAGGAACCCAGGTCAGCTGGGAAATCCCAGCTCTGCTGCAGGCAGGCAGGCTGCAGGAACAGAGTGCCCCGTGGAGCCCCCCAGGAAGAACCACTCACCCTCACGCCCGCGCTGTCCAGGGGACAGTCGTACTTAATGAGCCAGTTGTCATTGCCCCGATCTGCAGGGAGATAAAAGCAGCTGTGTCAGTGCCAGGGCCTGCCTGCACCACGCTGAGCAGAAGGTTACTCCTCTGATCCCAAAGTGAGACACACCAGTTTTGGGCCCAAACTCTATCCCAGAGCCCACAAACTTCCTGCAGGTCTGGGAAGCCACATCAACCCCCACACAACCAGCTCTGGAGAGCAAGGTCAGCCCGCAAGCCCCAGAGTGCTACCCCAAACCCTACCAGCTCGGCAGGAACTCAGAAGCCCAGCATGAAATGGGACACAGGGGCACAGATGCTGCATCTCCAGATGTCCCCGGGTCCTCGCAGCTGGCAAACTTTCACCCCAGCACGGTGGTGAACTCAGATCTCCCAGAATGCAGGCCAGCAGCCAGAGCACGGCCACGCTGGTGGGCACCCACAGCAGCTGCCCTCTACCCACCTGGCAGCAACCAAGTGGTGTTGAGAGGAGTTTTGGGGGCCGGGAAGAGATCATAGAATCGTCTAGGTTGGAAGAGACCCTTGGGATCATCGAGTCCAACCATCTCCCCTACTCTACATAGTCCTCCCCTACACCATGTCCCTCAGCACTGCATCTAAACGGCCCTTAAACACAGCCAGGGATGGGGACTCCACCCCCTCCCTGGGCAGCCTGTTCCAATGCCCGACCACTCTTTGGGTGAAAAATTCTTTCCTAATGTTCAATCTAGACCTCCCCTGTTGGAGCTTGAAGCCATTGAGAGATGTCAAGCCCCTGCCTCCCTCCCCTGTCTGGCAGGACGTGAAGGAGCGGGCAGTGTCCCACACCAAGCAGGTGGCCCTACCTGTGTTCCTGATGATGTAGTCCAGCACCACCAGCCGCTCGAACTGCAGCAGCAGCTGCCGGTTGGTGTTCTCCGGGAGCGGCTCGGCTTCAAACCGTCGCAGCCAGTAGTCAGCATCCTTGTAGCCTTCCACAAAGAGCTGGAAGGAGCCCACCTGAGGCGAGGAGAGGCTGCGTTACAGGGGGGGGCACAGAGGAGGGAGAAACAGTGACAGCCACGCGCAGAGGCCGGCAGCCCTACCTTGGGCGGCAGCCCGATGCGGTTGAAGCGCTGGCCAACTTTCGGCACCTTCTCCAGAGCCAGCCTTTTTCCCCTGGACTTTACCCTGTCGATGGCACTGTAGTTAAAGGTCTCACTGGCCAAATACACCACCTGGGGGGACAGGAGGGCAGACGTCAGCAGGGACACCTGGCAACTGTCACAGGACTGGCTGCTAAAACCAAGACACCACATTTCCCATAGCTCTGCCCAGCACAAGGCTTGAGCAACAGCAGTCCTGGTCTGGAGCTCTCAGCACAACATCTCCGAGGTCAGCAGTGCCCCAAGACAAGGTGCAAGCAGAGCTGTGCACACGAAAGCCTCCCCAGGATGAGATCCCAGCAGCTGTCCCCTCACCTTCGTGCGAGGAACGATGTTGAGTTCCAGTTTCTGGTCCACCAGGCTGGCACCCGCCTCCGACAGGTAGCCCTGGTTGAGGACAAGGCAGTCTCTCCCAAAGCAGCACGGGCAGCACAGCTTCTGCAGCCACTTGGTCCACTTGGGGTTCAGCTGCCCGTAAGGCTCCTCATTCTTGGGCTTGAAGACACCGATGATTTTCTGTGAGGAGGAGAGAGGAGGGCTGACTCAAGGCAGTTGGCAGAGTCAGGACAATTCCCCCCGAGCCAGCCCACACTGGGGACACACACAAACAGGCCCAAAACCACCCCTCACCAGGGCAATAACCAGCTTCTGGGAAAGAGGTAAGGCAAGAGCTGGGAGGGACCCTTTCCCAGCCAGTGTCCTGTCCCACGAGAGCAGGGTGCTGCCCAAAGACCTTCATACCCAGCTCAGGCACTTGGAAACAACCTTTCTTGTCCCAAAAGACACCAGTGATGATGCTGTCCCCTGGTAAACATTCCAGTCCCATCTCAGCGACCTTTGGATGGCTGGGAGAGTTACTGCTCACTGCTGCTCGTTACCTCCACACGGGAGAGGGAGGGGAATAGCGATCCCTGCCCTGGCTTCAAAATCCATTGGATGGAGCTGATCCCAAACCAACCAGAGGAAAAGGCACCAGAAGAGCCGAGCAGCTGGAGGACCCCCGAGGAGCCCCAGGCTTTGTGCTGGGGGGCCCAGCTAGGGATGGCAGAGAGGCCGGCTCTCTGCATACACCGTGGGCAAGCAGGCACAAGCAGTTCCAAACTGGGCACCAGCTGGTACCAGCAGCACAGCCCAACAGCAGGGACACCAACACAGGTGCCCCACTGCTGCAGAGGGCACAGAAGACTCGTACTAGGTGCTACACCGCCACCAAGCCAGCATTGCCAAGCCACACAGCTGAGACAAGGGCCAGGGCAAGGAGCAAGGCCACCTGCCCCCATGTGCCAGGCATCCCTGGGGGGCTGCAGAGCAGCTCCAGGCTGGCAACCCCCGCTCTGAGGTGACTCAGCAGCACATGCAACCAGCCCCATGGCTGGCACCAGGCCCAGCCTGAGTGGGTGCCACTAATGTGGAAGTGGGACATGCATCCCAGCACCTCAGTGGGAAACCCCCCCAGCCTGAGTGGGTGCCACTTCCCCAAGCCGAGCTAATGCACAATGTGGAAGTGGGACATGCATCCCAGCACCTCAGTGGGAAACCCCAGAGCAATCTCACTCTGCCGGGGGCCAGAAGCCAGCCCAGAGCAGGCAGAAGCAAGGTTTTGTCCACCAGGAAGAGGATGGGTTCGAGGGAACAGGAGTATTTCAGCAATCCCCAGATCACACAGATAAGTCACTTCCCCTGAGCAGGCAGGAAGGCAATACCCTCATCAGCCCCATGCAGAGGCACACAACTGCCAACACGTCCTTGGGTTTGAGCCTGCAAGAGGCTTTTCTGGGGCTCTGGCAGCACGGAGCCCCGTGTGCCATGGAGCCGGTTCAGTTGAGCAAGGCCCAGCCGGGCAGGGACAGTGTGGGAGCCAGGGCCAGAGGCCGGGCAGCACAGCATCCCCTGTGAGACAGACTCGTGCTGGGAGCAGCACTGGCAGGGAAAACAGGTCTGCCTGGCACCAGCAGCAGGGCAGAGGGAACTGGGCCAGCCCAGAGGCACAACCACCACTTGGGATGACTGCAGCTGCCAGGGCTGGGAGTACATCCTGGCTAGGGCAGCTCGGGCCCTGGCAGCCCACAGGGAAGCAGACACAAGTGAGAAGTTTTTCCCCTGGTGTGCTTACCCCCTGCCCACAACAGCAATGCTCTGCGCTCCCTCCTGTGCCAGCACTGGGGAGATTTTGGTGACCCTGGGCAGCAAGTCACAGACACTAGACACACACCACACTCGCTGAGGGCAGGGCAGGCCAGGGAACCTGCCAGGTGACACGGCCAGGACTACAAGGACTTTGGCTCCTCGCACACATCCTCTACCACCCTTATGAGGAGAGACTGAGAGAGCTGGGACTCTTTAGTCTGGAGAAGAGAAGGCTGAGGGGAGACCTTATCAATGCCTACAAGTATCTCAAGGGAGGGTTGAAGGAGGAGGGAGCCAGGCTCTTTTCAGTGGTTCCCAGTGAGAGGACGAGGGGCAACGGGCACAAGTTGGAACAGAAGAGGTTCCACTCAAATATGAGGAGAAACTTCTTCATGGTGAGGGTGACAGAGCCCTGGAACAGGCTGCCCAGGGAGGGGGTGGAGTCCCCTTCCTTGGAGATTTTCAAGACCCGCCTGGATGCTCCTGAGTAACATGCTCTGACAAGCTCTAGGCAATCCTGCTTCAGCAGGGGAGTTGGACTAGATGATCTCTATGGTCCCTTCCAACTCTAAAATTCAGTGAAATTCAGTGAAATGCCAGGTTCAGACCTTCTACAGCCAGGCAGCCTCTGCCCGGCCACCCCCAGGGCAGCTCATCCAGTCACCCACCCCAGCGACACCACGTCTCATATTGGGCAATGATAGGGAGTGCAAAGGCAGAAGTGTGTGTTGCCCCACAGTCCCCCAGCTCAGATGGGACGTCTGCCCACCACAGTTCCCAGGTACCGTACCCCACCGGGGCAGGAAAAGTAGGGCACACCAGAGAGCAGTGAGCCCAGTCCTCCTGCTTTCCCGGAAGCATCCCGGCACACACGCAGCAAAGGGAGTCACGGGAAGCAGCAACAGCTCAAGTAATTGGGCTGGGCACCGCAGGTCACGAGACAAGCCGCCCTGTGCTGCACACTCATCCAGCCAGCGGCGTGGAGGCGGCTGGAGCCCTGCTGACCGGATCGATGGCGACCGGCTACAACAGCCAGGGACTTCTCCTGGGTTACATCAGCCGCCCAGCCACAGGGGAGGCGGCTCGCAGGCCAAAAAACAGCTCAGCTCTCAAAAGCGGCAGCCCTGGAGTCACCGTGGTCAGGAGATGCTGACCGTGGCCAAGAGATGCTGATGCAGCCCTGGGGGAGAGGATGAGCCACAGGAGAGGCTGAAGCAGCACCTGGACACGGCTGTCCCCTGCGCCCGCTGCTGCTCCCACTCCATTTCTCCCCGGGGAAGCCCAGGGCGGCTCCAGCCGCTCCTACCAGCCCCCGGCCACCCCCGGGCCGGCATCCCCAGCTCCCCCCCCGGGACGGCCACGCCGGGCCGGCTCACCCCCTGCGGGTCCTTGACGAAGTAGCTGCCGCTGGAGCCCTGCGAGATGCGCTCGGGGAAGATGCCGCGCTCGCTGGCCAGCTCGGCCCGCCGCACCACCTCGGCGAACTCGGGGTCCTCGGGGAAGTCATTCCGCTCCCGCTGCACCGCCCACAAAGATGGCGGGCGGCGAGGGCGTGCCGGGAGGCTGGCCAATGAGCGGCCGTCTTGCTGGCGGTCGCTGCGGAGTCAGCCAACGGCAGGCGCGGATGGAGACTGGCGGCATGGCAGCGCCCGGCGGGCGGGGGACTGGCAGGGGAGGTGGCCGTGCCGCCGCCCCTCGGCGGGACAGCCCTGGGGAGCGGTGCGGGTGGGCAGCGCCGAGCCAGGTGAGCGCGGGCCGCGGGTCCCTGCGCCGCCCGCACCGCCCCTGGGGCAGGCACCGGGCCTGCGGGCACCGCCACAGGTGTCCCGGGGAGGGGGCGTGCGTCCGCCGCCCGTGGGTGCATGGGCACGGCGGGGCGTGCGTCCTTCAGCCATGGGTGCATGGACATGGTGGGGGGTGCACACATCAGCTGTGGGTGCGTGGACATGGCAGGGTGTGCCTGCATCACCCGTGGGTGCATGGACACGGTGGGGTGTGAATGCTTCAGCCGTGGGTGCATGGACACAGCAGGGTGTGCATCCTTCAGCCATGGGTACATGGACACGGCAGGGTGTGCCTGCATCGACTGTGGGTGCGTGGACACGATGGGGCATGCATCCATCACCCATGGGTGCGTGGACACAGTGGGGTGTGAATGGTTCAACCGTGGGTGCATGGACATGGTGGGGTGTGCCTGCATTGCCCGTGGGTGCATGGACACAGCAGGGTGTGCACACATCAGCCGTGGGTGCATGGACACGGCGAGGTGTGAATCCTTCAGCCATGGGTGCATGGACATGGTGGGGTGTGCCTGCATCGCCTGTGGGTGCATGGACACAGCGGGGTGTGCACACATCACCCGTGGGTGCATGGACACGGCGGGGTGTGAATCCTTCAGCTGCGGGTGCATGGACGTGGCAGGGTGCATGTCCATCAGTCTGAGTGCGTGGACACAGAGGGGCATGCATCCATCAATTGTCGATGCAGGGACACGGCAGGGTGTGCACACATCACCTGTGGGTGCATGGACACGGCGGGGTGTGCCTGCATCGCCTGTGGGTGTGTGGACACGGCGGGGTGTGAATCCTTCAGCCGTGGGTGCATGGACACGGCAGGGTGTGCATCTGTCAGTCTGAGTGCATGGACACAGCGGGGTGTGCCTGCATCGCCGGTGGGTGTGTGGACACGGCGGGGGGTGCCTGCATCGCCTGTGGGGGCATGGACACGGCAGGGGGTGCACACATCACCTGTGGGTGCATGGACACGGCGGGGTGTGAATCCTTCAGCCGTGGGTGCATGGATGTGGCAGGGTGTGCGTCCATCAGTCTGAGTGTGTGGACACAGAGGGGCATGCATCTGGCAGTCGAGGATGCAGGTACACGGCAGGGTGTGCACACATCACCTGTGGGTGCATGGACACAGCGGGGTGTGCCTGCATTGCCCGTGGGTGCAGGGACACGGCCAGGTGTGCATCTGTCAGTCTGAGTGCATGGACACAGCAGGGCATGCATCCGTCAGTCGAGGATGCAGGGACATGGCAGGGTGTACATCCATCAGTTGTGGGTGCGTGGACACGGCAGGGTGTGCACACATCACCTGTGGGTGCATGGACACAGCGGGGTGTGCCTGCATTGCCCGTGGGTGCAGGGACACGGCCAGGTGTGCATCTGTCAGTCTGAGTGCATGGACACAGCGGGGTGTGCACACATCACCCGTGGGTGCATGGACACGGTGGGGTGTGAATGCTTCAGCTGTGGGTGCATGGACATGGCAGGGTGTGCACACATCACCCGTGGGTGCATGGACACAGTGAGGTGTGCCTCCATCAGTGTGTCCATCAGTGGGTGCAGTCCCCACCTCTGGGCACACTACCAGGCAGGGTGTGTGTGTGTCCCATGGGTGCGTGGGCCCTGCACCCCTCACCCTGTGTGCATCCCCAGCCCGTGGGTGCATGGCCTGGGCAGGTGGTGGGCTCAGAGCTGTGTGAGTGGCGCCGTCCCTGCTTGCCATGGGTGCTGTGCACACAGGGTTCTGGTGTGTGTGGGTGCCAGTGGGGGGATGTCCGGGTGCTGGGCATCTGGGTTGCTCACAGGGCACACGCTGCTGGGTGAAGCTGCAGGTCGGGGCACTCCCCGCAGCAGGCACTAACGGCCCCGCAGCAGCACATTCTCCTCCTCCTGGTGCCACCGAAGGTGCCCGCAGCGGTGCTGGGCAGGCTGGGGAGCTGGTGCTGAGCTCCCAGTATCTCCCATCAGCAGAGAGCACTGTTCAGTCACCGCTGGGCTTGGCTCGGGGCCATTTCTCCTCTGGACACAAAGCCCTTGCCGTGTTCCCCGCGGTGCTCCCCGCTTAGCGTGGCTCAGCTCCCGTCTCTCCAGGGATGCACAGCCCCCTGTCAGCAGGGACACCCCCTCTGGGAGCGGGGATACCCCCCTTCCCAGCACGGGCACGGCCTGGGCTGCACCCGGAGCCACCAGTGAGGCAGTGCCCAGCCCGCCCGCAGGGCCAGCTCCGTACTGGTGCTGGGGAGAGCTGTGCTGGGCAGCAGAGCTCTGGGGGTGTGCAGGGCTCCGGGGGCTGCTTGCTGTCACCGCAGGCGGGTTTGCAAACCCTTGGTGGCTGAGCAAAGCCCTGGAGCCCCGGGCTCCTCGCTCTGCTGTCCCTCTGAGGAGGAGTGGCTGCATCATCCCTGGGGGGTGAGCTGCGTCTGCTCGTCCTCCACGCTGGAACTCGAAACCCCACAAGCTCTCTGAAGAGCACAACCTGGCAAGTATCTCCTTTCCAAAATGCCTGTTTCTTCCCTGGGTTGCCCCAGCAGACCCGGGTTGGCCCCTGGCCTGAGCCTGCTGCAAGGGAGGACCCCCCCACACCCAGGTCCTGCCGGGGGGCCTGGCTGCAGGCAGCCAGCTCCGGCCGGGCTCCTCTTCATCTGCTCGCTCACGTTTCACGGGGCTGTGACCCCCCAGGGGCTCACGTCGCCCCCGAGCCCTGCGGTGGGGCGGGCAGACACCCGAACCTGCCGGCTGGAGTTTCAGAGGCAGGGCAGGGCGGCCGAGCTCCTGGGGTCACCTCCTCGTCTGCCGTCTGCAGAGCCATCCCCCGGGCAGAGCCGTGTCTCCCAGTGAGCCGAGGGGACGTGGGGGGTGCTGGATGACCCTGGGCTCTGCCCCCCACCCAGCAGCCCCCTCTGCCCCTCTCCCTGCCAGCTCCTGTCCTGCGCTGCCTTAGGCTGTCGCCATGACCCTCACCAAAGGCTCCTTCACCTATTCCAACGGCGAGGAGTACCGCGGCGAGTGGAAGGAAGGTGAGACAGGGTGGGAGGGGGTGGTGCTGCCTGCGCCGGGGTCCCAGCAGCCCCCCCGTCCCTGCCCAGCACCACGCTGGGGCAATCCCTGCCTCTCTCCATCCATCTCCATTTTCTGTCCTCCCCTAGGTCGCAGGCACGGCGTCGGGCAGCTGACCTTCGCTGATGGCACCGCTTACGTGGGGCACTTTGAGAACGGGCTCTTCCACGGCTGCGGGGTGCTCACCTTCTCTGACGGCTCCAGGTGAGCATGGCACCCCCATGTACGCACCCCCACCTTGGGCACCCCCCCTTGCCCCGGGGAGCTGCTGCCTCAGGAGCTGCTCCCGCGCAGGTACGAGGGGGAGTTTGTCCAGGGCAAGTTCAACGGCGTCGGCGTCTTCACCCGCTGCGACAACATGACCTTTGAGGGCGAGTTCAAAGGCGGGCGCGTGTATGGCTTTGGTGAGTGCCCGGCAGAGCAGTGTGGCACCCACAGCCCCGCGGGGTCCCGGCTCAGCACGTCCCCCATCCGGCATCTCCTCCTCCGTCCCTCCAGCCCCCCCAGCCCCGGTGGGTGCTGCTCCCCCATCCCATCACTCCTGGCCCTTCCCTTCCCAGGTCTCCTGACCTTCCCCGACGGCTCGCACGGGGTGCCCCGCAACGAGGGCTTCTTCGAGAACAACAAGCTGCTGCGGCGGGAGAAGTGTCCGGCCATCATCCAGAGGGCCCAGGGCGCCTCCAAGTCTGCCCACAACCTGATGGCTTGACGATGCCCTGCGTCCCCCCTCCCGCTGCGGTGGGGACCCCCACACTGGGCATTGGCTGGCCCCGCTTCCCCTGGGACCGGGGACGTGACACCGCTGGGTGTCTCCCTGCCCTCTGCCTGCCGGCCGCCCAGCCTTGGCGGGGCCAGGTGCCCACACCAAGCCCCCTCGCTGAACCCCTGCCAGTGGGGGGACAGGGCCCCCCCGCTCTCCACCCAAGTGCCGTGGTGCCTTCTCTCTCTGACTGTAGCCCTGGCACCCGCTGGAGCAGCCAGGGCCCAGCCCTTCTGCCCCCTTGGGAAGGCTGCAGCCCACCGGGACTGCCAGCCAGCCACGGGGGACAGAGTTGGGGCGTAGGGGCTGGGGCTGGGCCCTGACCCCACTGCCAGGGTGCCTTGGCCGTGGGTTGCTGGCTGGACCACATGCCCGCAGAGGGGCAGCTCCTGGCTCTCTTCCCTTACCCTGGTCCTGAGGCAGGGTGGGCACCCCCTGGCCTGTGCCCTCGGCTCCGGGTCGCCGGCCATCCCCTGGCCTGCCTTGGGCAGGGTGACGTGGTGCCTCCAAAGGACCCAGCCTGCTCTCGGGGCCAGCTGATGGGGCTGTGCCCCCCTCATCCCTGTGCCAATCCAGCCCACCCACTGCCCTAGGGGACATCTGCAGCAGCATCCCTGCCAAGGGGGTCGGGGGGATGCCCAGACTGGCCTGTGCCAGCTGCGCACCGGGAGCAGGCAGGAGCGATGGCGAGCAAGGAGCAGGCTCAGCCAGAGCCTGGGATGAGGGGCACGAGCAGGGCTGGAGCAGGGGGCCTGAGGAGGGGATAGGGGCATGGTGAGGGGGCAGAGAGGGTGGGCAGGGGGCACACGGCTCCCCGTCTTACCCCCCTCCCCCCGCATGCATCCTTCATCTCCCTGCTGTGTGCTCACCTTCACCCCCGGTGGGGTCAGGCTGGCCGTGGCACGGGGGTCCCGGCAGCCCTCGCAGCCTGGGAGTGGGCTGCAGGGGCCGTGCCCCCCCTGCCAGTCTGTGCCCGCACCGGTCCCGTGCCTTGCCGTGACCCTGCCTTGCGCTGCCGCCTGCATGGGCCTCAGCTGAGTAAACCACGTTGCCAAACACCCAGGGCTGTGTCCTTTTTTGCCAGGAGCAGGGACTGGGGCGGGGGGCTGCGTGCACGGGCAGGACTGCAGACACGGGGGGGGGGGAAACAGTGGGTTTATTCCTGGCTCACAGCCCCGGGATCCATTCCTTCCCAGGTGGGGATGGCAGGATCCTGAGGGCTGGTGGGGGACGCAGAGGTGGCCGGGGGGGTGTTGGGCATCCCCCCTGCCCGCTCTGCTCAGGGCAGGAAGGAGGGGGGGGTGGGTTTCTCCTGGCCACATCCCAGTGGCCCCACCACGTCCCCGGCTCCCGGGG